ATAAGCGGGTTTTAACCACTAATACTTCATCCACAGGAGGACTCCTTCCCTCCCCCTCTCATTATGCTGGTATAAATGTAATTATCCCAGGTATAATTAACACAAACCATGTTTCTAGTGTCAGCAAGCAGCTTGGGTGTGTGCTGCAGCTCTCTGCGGCGTAGCTGTTATCTCTGGCTCACAGCAGAGGGTCAGCGCTGCTTGGGGATCTCTGTGCTACTGCCAGCATGATAGCTCGGGGACAGGCGGCCCCACTGGCAAGGTGGGGTGCTGAGGTTGCCAGTTTGCAAGCACAGCATGCCAAAAGCCGGCCAGCAGAAACAGGTAGGGACTTGCCAACCCTCCTTCCCCCAGGCTGCGCAGCAAGGACACAGCGTGGGAAAGAGCTCCTGACCTCTCACGCTTTGCCACTCGAATATTCGTCACCCAGGAGCCAACACTAATGTCTTGTATCAGCCCAGAACGCTCAGGAGATGTTGCAGAATGCAACCCAAGGAGAAGGGTGTCTGGACATATTTGTTTGCTTCAGTGTGAAGATGACAGATTCACTGTTCATGTCTCCATTATGCCCAGAGGTCGGCCTTGCTCACATCGATGATGTTTCAGGGATGTTTCATGGCCCACCATGGCATGGAGAGGCAGGTTTAGGGCTCTACCAGCTGGAGGGTGACAAACTGATGCAGCCTCACCACACAAGTGTTCTTCTGATGGGCTGACTGCATCACCAAGACACTTTCCTTGTAACAGGGCCACGCAGCTCAGCAAAACAAGCTGCATCTTTGTTACGGATGCTCACCAGAAGAACCTGCTGATGTTCCTGTTCCAGTGAAGAGCCTGGGGGCGGCCAGGCCTCGCTAACAGGAGCTACTCGTTGCACAGGATCCACACCGCAGCCGTTCGTGGGGTGCTCAGGGCCCGGCAGGGCTATGTGGCAGCAGGGCAGGGGGATCCATGCCAAGTGCCACACACTCATTCAGGCAACATGCTGCTGCAGCGCAAGCAGCTGAACCCAGCAGAGCTGAGTTTATCGCAGCAGAGTTTTGCCAGGACAGGTTCCCCCCACCCCACCCCCACGGCCTTTGCGGGGGGGGGTTTGGGGGTTCGGGGTGTCCCTGGCAGAGGAGGGGGACGGTGTCTCGCAAGCGGGAGGGAAGGAAAATGCAGACAATACTTTTTGATGGGCTGGGTGACCCCGGGGTTTTTGTGTTTGTGTGTTTTGTTTTTTTTTTTCCTTGTTTTTATCTCGTTTTCGCGTAATAACAGCGTTTGGCCCTTTTTAATTGCACACTTGTAATTTTAAGAGTCTGTCCCTTGCCCCAAACTGAGAAATACTCGCTTTTATTTCTTTTTAGTCAATGTTTAATAACTTTGTTCTGAACAGAGATTTTATTAGACAGATCATGAGTAAGGAATTTCCTTTAAGACCGAGGGAGGTGGGGTAAGGGGGTAGCATTTATCTTACAATGTTTTAATGCTGGTTTAAGCAATTCGGTCGGTGATCAATTTACCCGCTTCCTGCTGCGTCTCCCCAGGTTTTCAGGAAAACACAAGGTTTAACGTTAAAAGTTCCTGGTAGGCCACACAGCTCACGAACAATGGCTGTGCTTTAATTTCCAGTCTAACTTTCAAAAAAAACCCACCCAACCCAAACTCTCTTTTAGTTCGTGATTGAACTTTTTGAAACACGCATCCTCTGCTGACTTAATTTTTAAATATTGACTGTTATTTCTAAAGGAATATCGAATAAGAGCAGTGAAGATCTGAACGCGTAGTTGTGCTCTATGTGGTTTAAAGCTGCCTTATTCAGCGTCGTCGCCACTCGTGCTTAAAACTTGCTTGGAGATGTCTCCGAAGTTTTTGTTTCTTGTGCAACGTCCCATAATCTGAAGTATTTTGCTTGTGATGATAACACAGAGCGGTTTATCTACATGCAATGTTTTTATCAAGGGAGGAGGAAAATTGCTTGCTTTAAGCACTTTGAGGCAGTGTAGAAACCTTTGCTTGTAAATATGTAACTTCCCAGCAAACGGTTTACCTAGGGAAAGTTTGTTATATATTTTCACTGAGAGTTTGGGAATGAAAAGGGTCCTGGTAGCCATTGACGGCGAGTCTTGCAGCTGCCGGTTAGCTAATGAATGTGCGTTGTGTAGGTGACTTAACATATTTCTGATGCTCTGTGTGCTTTGAATGACAGGATTCAGCTGTCCGCTGCATTTAACAACGGCATTTCTATAAAAACACGTCTTGGAACTAAACTTGAACTACCCAGAATGCTCTTTTCCCCTTTGCTCCCTTTCAAAATGTCGCCTTTGCCAAGTTTTTCTCTTGTGTTTGGAGCTGCCTTGTCTCTATTAGACGAAAGAGGAAGCGTCTGGGAGCAGGAGGCACTTGTGTGGATCTTCACAGTACCTTGACAGAGACTTTCTAGAGTCTCAAAAAAACCTGATTTTTATAATAACGTGGTTATTAACGATTTATGTGCAAATAAAACCAGAAAAGAATTTATGCTGGTGAACAGAAGGACCTTGCAGCCCGTGGCCTTTTGAGGGAGGAAGGTAACATTGTGGCTGTGCAGACTTCTACTAGCAATTTTGTACATGTGGTATTTCCGCTGGAAGCAGGGCTTGTCACAATATATAGGTACTTCAGACTTTTTGTGGATTCCTAGTATCTCCCTATTTTTAAGACTGCTCTGACATAACTTGGAACCTCCTTTAATACAGCCTGCTCGGAGTTCATTGTTTGCAATTAATGTACACCTCAACGTGGTGATAAGTAAATTTCTTACCAGTAATTACTTCTTTGTTTGTTTGTTTTTTTTTTTTTCTTATTGCATAGAGGAGCTTTATTGCTTCATTTCATGTTACTGAAGGATTTTGGTGATATTTATTAAGGGGAGACTAACAGGAAAACGCCATTCAGTTGTAGTATTGTATTCATAAAAATAGTGAAGGTTTATTAATATCAGGTATTGTCACAGTGTTTTGTGACGTATTTGGGGAAGGTAGTGATTTCCAGGCTTTCTGAAAGACGGAGAAGTTAGTTCTGTTGTATGTTGCGGGTATTTAAGTTGTGAAGGTCTTTGAATGTATAAAAAGCTTTGGAGATTGCTTGTTTATGTGGCCATGGAGGCTGTGTGTGTCAACAAATGCATGTAGTAGGTGCAATTAAAAAAATCTTATCTCTGCAGTTCTGTAGTCATTTTCTTCTGAATATTAGCACTGTTCTCAGTTAGTGGGACAAACTTGAGTAAGTTTGATCAAATATAGGATTAGGATTTTTTTTGTGTAAGCTTTCTCTCTCTACTGTTAGAAAATTGTTCTTGGAAGTTGCTTGTAGTAGTTGACTGTTCAAAACTACTATGATGAGCAGAGAGGAAACAGAGCTGCCTTTCAGGCTGTCGGAGCTGCTGTCAGGATCAGGGCCAAGGTTTACAGCCACCAAGGTACAAGAGTAAAAGCATTCTCGTGCTTGTATGCAGCTGTGGTGGGAGCCCGTAATGGCTGAACACCCCCTGCCCCAGTTTCATCCTTGCAACTCTCTGTGGTATTCGTGGGATTGCAGTTAAGTAACTGAAATAATAAACTAGCAATCTTTTAAAAAAATAATAAATCTGACTATTCCATGCCTTTAAAAACATTCGATTTGTGTGTGTGCTCTGCATTGGCTGAGCATTACATAATGGGGGAGAACACTTTTCTGTTCACATGTGTAATGCCATTATTGCTCTCAGGGTCAGCTGATAATGTTATCTTAAAATAACAAACTAACTTGTGTGGTTTTGTGCTGCTGGGATGCTATCAAAATATTTGGGAGGAATAGTAAATTAGTGATTTACTGTCAGCCTGGTCTGCCAGTTGTCCTCCTGCATGCAGATGATTTTGAGTAATTTAGGGTATTTTCAGTGTGGATCGTTTCTGTGACTCGCCCAGTTTCTCCTGGCGCTGTGGACACTGCTGGCTGCTCCGGCTCTGGAAGGTTCTGCCAAGATCCTGGGCACTGAGAGGTTAGCTGCTCTTTCTCCAGGGAATCTTGTATAAAACATGCCCGTCTGCTTTACCATCTCATGACCGAAGTCAGCTTCTGAGTTTGCAGGAAGAGTGCATGTTGTGTTTGGGACTTAATTAACTGCATAAGCAAAATCCAGTATTTTAAGTTTGCATTTGAAAAAAACCCAACCTGTTGCCTTGATATTTTGCATGGCTGAGTGAACACATCGTGATACAGTGGGACTTGTGTATTGATTGAAGATCTGCCTTGTAATTTGTCAGGTGTAAACACACGCGGCAGGCACTGGTGGTGTAATTTGCGTTCCGTTGGGTTTTTGGGGGGCTTTTTTCTAGCAATTTTCTGTGGCAGCACTCCAGACTCTGTTTTGTCCATCACACAAATTGATGTTCTAATTTCAGTATAATGGGCACCTTACACCAATCTTGCATATACTGATAACACTTTGCAGCACAAAACGTGGGATTTTTGGCTAGTGTGTGTTTTTAGATGATATTTTAATTACTAGGTTAATGGAGCAAATAATTACGCTACAAGGCGTCAGAATTGGCATCGTGATGTTTCCCTGCCAGTCACAAAATGGGTGTGTTAATGAATATGTAAAGCTGAAGCTGTAAGGATTTCAATCTTTCTTTCCCTTCTCTTTCTCGCTGTCTCTCCCCCCCTCCCATCACCCCCCTGTAGGTGTTGGTGGAATGAGCGTTGCGTGTGTTTTGAAGAGAAAAGCAGTACTCTGGCAGGACTCGTTCAGCCCCCACCTGAAACAGCACACTCAAGATACAGCTAATCCCAACATGCCTGTTGTATTGACATCTGGAACAGGGTCCCAGGCTCAGCAACAGCCAGCTGCAAATCAAGCGCTTGCAGCAGGGACACACTCCAGTCCTGTTCCTGGATCCATAGGAGTTGCAGGCCGCTCCCAGGACGACGCTATGGTGGATTACTTCTTCCAGAGGCAGCATGGTGAGCAGCTTGGGGGAGGAGGAAGTGGTGGAGGCGGCTATAATAACAGCAAACATCGCTGGCCTACTGGGGATAACATTCATGCAGAACATCAGGTAAAAAAAAAAGTTCAATGTTTCCAAACTCAACATGTGAATGCATCGGGTTGATGATAGATGCTTTTAATGACACTTTTTAAAGCTTAAGCTGGTTATTGTGGGGTTGGAAATGGCAACAGTCGTACTTTTTATTTTGTTTTCTCAGGACTTCAGTAGCTATAAGCTGAAATATTCCTGTTCTTGAGGGTGTTGAAATCCCAGTCCACTTTCTGTGACAGTCAAATACATGTTTGCAAAATTTATCATTCCCTTTATTGATTTTTTTTTTTTTTGGATGTGTGAACCAGTGTAGCAGTAACTGCTGCTGCTTTTCAAATCTGTTGCTGTAGTTAAATAATTCTTATGTAATGGTATTACAAAACTGCCAATGCATGTAGGTTGGGTTTTTAGCATTCCCAATATTGAAAAACACAGCTCTGGAAGTTGCTGGTAATTTATTTTCCCAGGTTTCTTTGCTTGTTTCTTTTGGGGTTTTGGGGTTTTTTTGGTTATAATTGGGTGGGGAAAGTGTTATTAATGTGCTTAGCTGGACTGAGAAGAGAAGAACCTTAAGAATGTCATGGAACTGTGCTTTTAGAAACATGGCTAACTTTTACACTGACTTAACGTTTTTAAAAGGGTAGTGGGCCAAAACGTAGTAGTAGTGTTTACTAGAAGTCTTTTCAGTAGTTGCATTGTCAGATGTGCAGTGAGTTAAATGAGCGCATGACTCACTCTAGCTTTCTGTCTGTGACCTGTAACTAACTCGTCAAAGGAGATGTGCTTCCTCTGCTAAGGGAGCAGAACTTACGTGTAAGCACTTTTTAAAACTGAATGATTCCCACAAATAATTGTCAGAGCAGTAGACACAAAGCTTTTGCAACCTTTATGAATATCTCCTGCCTCTAGTTTTTCAAATAAAAGCGAACAAGCCCTTGTTCCTCTGCGGTGCCTCCCCAGGGGATGTGTTGCCATCCAGACCATTTAAAAGCAAACATTGCAGTGAATTTTGCAACCTCACTGAAGTCAGTGTGTACATCAATAAAGAAGTAAACCCAAGTGCCCTGTTAATTTGTTCTGGAAGGAAAAATCTCATAAAATACTGCAATGTGAACTAAGCAGCTAGAAGCCTATTGTAGTTATTCCCTTATGTGGAAACATAGTATTTAGTTATCACTTTAAAGGAAATAACTGCACTGAAATGAGATGTAGCTTTTCTGTTAACTATCCAAGTTTTCAGTCACTAAATGTAAAACTTGTTTCAAGAGACATTGATAGAAGAGATCTTAATGTGCTTTAAGTTGTGTAAGTAAGCAAAAAAAATTATTTCTGAAAGGCTGCAGCTTTTAGCTTTTTCCAAGAAAACCTGTCATGCAGTCTTGTGTGGAGATGTTTAGGCAGGAACTGCTATTGTTTGGACATTTTATGGAAAGATGACTTCATGAATTAAAATGAACGTCATAAATTCTCAATCCCTGTTTCGTCCCACTCATACTTTCCTCTTCCTGTCTCTGAAAATCCCTAAAAGCAAAGAACAGAACTCACTGGAGTTTGAGGGGGCAGGAGACGGGACACCCAGATCCTCCAGTCATTAAAATTGTGCTTGTATTTGAACTTTTTTTTATTGCATGCTTTAATAACCAGTAGACTTAAACTTTCACTCAAAGAAAAGAATCCTACCTGTTACAGAGTCTTGCGTGATATCAGTAGGTGTGTTGCTCTTCCTCAGCTTGATTTTTCTTCAGTAACTTCTTGAATGAAATGATACTAATAAATGTACCACTTAATGAAAGACAAAAATCCTTAGCTTGTACTTAAATGAACTTCTAAAAAAATAATGCGTGCATTTTTTTTGAAGACTTAACACTTCTGAGAAGGTTGTATGGACAAAATACACCTGCAGGATTAGGCTCACAAGGTTCTGTGTGATGCTTTCTCTATTTTTCTCCCATGTGTTCTCTGATCTGAAGCTCAAGAAATAGCCACTATAATATAATTAATGTTGGAACCATATCTGTTCTACTTCCTGGTGGTTTTTACATTGCCTGTCATGTTTTTGTCACGTAGTCCTGATGTTTTGCATTCAGTATGCATCTTTAAACCAATCTTTGTGTTTAATTTCTTCAAAGTCAGCTCTGAGATGGAGCAGTAACTTTCTTCTTGTGTGTCTTATTTGATACTGTATACACCAGTGATTGCTGGGCAGTTTTATCTATGTGTTTATTGCTTTGGCCTCTCTTGAGTGCCTCTTTTTCCATGGTTCTCTGTTTGCCTCGGGGTTTTACTCATGGGAAACAGAATGCAGGATATATGTAATTGTAATACTGCCATTCCTTTTGACTTTTTAGCCACCTTTGCATCTGCTTCTTAAATTATAAATTCCTTGGAGCAAGAACTAGTCTTATGCATGCAAAATGATTTAATACAGTTTGGGCTTAGCTGGGATAGAATTGAATTTGGCCTGCAAGAATAGAAGCAAAAGGAAGTGCTGGGACATGCATAGAGGTGGGGAATCATTATGGATGTCTTCTAAGTCTCAATTTCTCATATATACATTTATATTACTGTACTTTTTATTTTAGACTTTTAAAGATGATGCAGCGAGGGCCCTTGCCTTGTTGCCTTGAAGACTGGTTAGGAAACTCAGTAGCTAAAAGATAATGGGAAGTCAGAAAAAATAATTATAGGGTAATACAGGTTAATGCCTGCCTAGAGCTTGGGAGGTCGTAATTAAAGGTAGAGGGATTTTTTAAAATTGTTGAATCCTGGTTTCTTCTTTGTTACGCATGTAGACAGACATCTGTCTCAGTCTGCTGGTGATAATACTCCAGTGATTTTTACCAAATGATAGCATTTCATCATGTGTTATGAAATAGCTACGAGTGTTGTGAGTCAGAACTTATTTACAGGATCCTTGCTTTTCATTTTTGATTGTGCTGGCTGTTTCTCCTTGTCATTTGTTTGTACGGCACCTCTGAGAATAGAGCTGTGAATGGCTTTAGTAGGGATGACTTAAAACCAAGTTTCTCTGCTCCCAAGGAGGTAGAGAATGTCCCCTTACTGAGAACAGCAGGAAAATGCTGGTTCTTTTTATGTTTTGCCTAGACACTTTCTTTTCCCTTTGCATTTTTTCCTTCTCTAGAAAAAGGGGGGGGGAGGATAATTATGTTTTTATATAAAATTAAGCAATTAAAGATGCTATGTCATTTTTCATATTTAGGTATCAAAGATACGCCATCCACACAAGTAACATGTATTAGAAATTCTTCTTCTTGCAGGCATTGCAGTAATGGTGGAATCGGGCTTTTCTTCTAGATTGGAAACTCTGAACTTGTAGGCAGAATTGTAGCTACAAATACTTAATCACCAAACTTTACATGGAAGACACTTCCATCAGCCAGGTCTTGACTGCGAAGCGTAGTCTTCTCTTTTTACCCACAAAAAGCAGCAAGATGAAGTCAAGTGTCAGTCTCCACCAGTAATTTCAAGATTGACGCTGAGGAGGTTAAGGCTATCGTTCACCTGCAGGGCTCTTCAGGCTGTTTGGGCAGCCAGTTATAATAGCTGCACTGGGGGGGGTTGTGCTGTTTATCCTGCAGAATCGGGTAGTGATCAGAACCTCTTCACATAGGTGAGTGAAGATGTACAAGATGACCCTTGGTGAGTAATGGCCTCAGTTGGATTTGTCTCGGTTGTGAAAGGTTGCATATCTCATTAGAAATCCAAACAGCCATCTACTACTCCTGAGGGGAGTGAAAAAACAGTTGAGATACTCAGCTGGGAGAAGTTATCAACACTGAGCAGGTTTTTAGGAAAATCGTCTGGGTTTTCTTGGATGGAGTCTCTTGTGGCTTGTGCATACTTGTATGTTCTTGAACTGGAGTGAAGAGAGAGTTGCTGTGGTGGTGTTCCCTTCTGAATTACAGTGAATGGATATACTTAAACTGTCTGAATTGCAGTTAGGGTAATATGGGAGTTGCTTAGTAGAAGCAAATGATTTTAGGGATTTACTTTCTTTGAGAGCATGTTTAATTAATAATTTGAGACAATAGAACTCTGCAGGGATAGTCTTGTTGAATGTGGGGAATTTTTCACATATAGTTGTTGAAGAATAGTGAGAGCAACAGGGTTGGGACTGTGTTTTATGCTCAGTTTTGCCTTTTGGCAATGTGACCATGCAACTTCTTAACTGGGAACTTGCATTCAAGTGGAGAGAGACAGAAGGTGATTCTCCTGGCAGCTGCCCTTCTAGAGCACTGCTACTCAAACTGTGCTGCTTGATGTTGTGAAAGTTTCTGGATTTGACATTGTTTGACAATGTTTGGTGCCTGCTGACAAGCACCATGACCAGAGTTTGCCTTTAAGTCGTGTCAAGGTCCTCTAAAAAGATCCTGGGAGCTAAGGAAGCAGAAGCCCTGGCTTTTGTTCTTCTCAAGTGAAATCCTGTTTAAGTGAGAGTTAACTCTTTGGGATGGAGATTTCCTGACCTTCCCACGGAAAGCACCCTAGAGTATGAGGTCTGCTGTGGTCCAAATAATCTGGTTTGTTGTCTGGGCTAGAGTTAAAGGCATGGAGCAGATCCGCAGTCACGTACACCTTGTGACAGAATGCATGGCTCTGTTCTCAAAGAACGTTTTATGATATGTTTCATTAAATCCGTTGAATTTTTGTGGGTACTTCCTTGTATCCTGGTGAACTGGTTAGGGCTTTTCTTACACTGACACTGAAATGGCTGTGCTAACTTGATACCCAGATAATTTAGAACATAATACCTTGCTGAAATGAAATGTCTAGTTTGGCTGATTTGTTTTGCGGAGATTTCCCTGTAGTAAATGGATATCTTGGGAGAAGGAACTCTCAAGATTTGATTTAGTTTTCTGATTTGCATTGCCCTTTGAAAAATCTTTCTGAGATAGAAAGATCTTGGGTAGGTTGGCTAGGTTGGATATTTAAGATTGAGTATTGGAAAACCATTCTCACATATAGGGGGGAGAAAAACACCCTGAAGTCTTTAGAAA